GAGAGAGAGAGAGTGTGTGTGTGTGTGTGTGAGTGTGTGTGTGTGTGCTGATCTGAGATCTCAGGAATCTGAAAGAACATCTGCATCTGAGAGACGATCAGACCAGCAGAGAGCAGCATTCAGCAGCCCTGTGTAGTGATGATGATGATGATGATGATGTGGCATGAGCTGTAGTTTGCTGTTAGCTGTCCCAAAACCACCTCATTCTCCTTCACAGCCAACACGTGCATTGCCTCAGTATCTCACACAGAGCACTATAGTGAAGACGTCACGTCACGGATTCCTGTTTGTGCTTCAGTCTTCATGCTACATTTGTGCCGGACGCTTCACAGTTTCTGGGTTAATGGGACACATTTACACTCTCATAAAATACATGATCCATTCCATAAATAAACAATAAAACCCCTAATGCTCATCACTGAGGTTTTCTACAGCAGGCGACTCTGAATCGTCAGTCATTTTAATGTTTGTGTGCTGTTTGTTTTTCTGTTGACGTCGTTGGAAAAAAAAAAAACCTTGACCCTTTTAGACTTGCACTCTATTCATTTACTAACGGCTTGTTTTCTTTAAACAGAACTAACACTAGCTTTTTTGTATTCTATCTATTTGTTTTCTTTTTATTTATTATACAATTAACAAAAAGCAAAAAAAAGGCCTCTATCACTAGCTTGCTCTTTTCTTTTTCTATTCTATCTGTTTTCTTTTTATTTTAGAATTTAAAAACCCCTTGCTAGGTGTACTGTGTTAAGCTAACTGAGACTTGTTATAGCACTTGCGTATCATTGCTCTTTTGTTGATTTTGATTGCTTCTATTGTCCTAAATCTTCTTAAAAATGTTAAAAAATTAACAACTGCTCTGACCCTCGCACACTTTTCAAAACTTTCTCTTCTCTTCTCTGTCCTCCTCCCCCTCCTCCTTCATCAACTCTTACAGCTGATGACTTTGCAATTTTCTTCACAAATAAAACAAGAACCATCAGCAACCAATTCCCCACACCACAAACTGATGATAACTTCATAACCACAAATACACACTCCACACACACATCATCTCCACTCTCGGAGACGGATGTTTCCAAACTTATCCTTTCCAATCATCCTGTCCGCTTGATTCTATCCCCACTCACCTCCTTCAGGCCATTTCTTCTTCAGTTATACCTGCACTCACGTTATCAACACCTCTCTTCACTCTGGTACCTTTCCCACATCATTCAAGCAGGCTCGGGTAACCCCACTGCTTAAGAAACCCACTTTAAACCTAAAACTACAGACCGGTTTCCCTTCTTCCATTCATTGCAAAGACACTTGATCGAGTTGTGTTCAACCAGCTCTCTATGTTCCTTGCACAGAACAACCTCCTGGACAACAACCAATCTGGCTTCAAAAGTGACCACTCAACTGAGACTACACTGCTCTCGGTTACTGAAGCCCTGAGACAGGCAAGAGCAGCCTCCAAATCCTCAGTACTCCTCTTGCTGGATCTGTCTGCTGCTTTTGACACAGTTAACCACCAGATCCTCCTGTCCACCCTCATGAAGATGGGCATCTCAGGAACTGCACTCCGGTGGTTCAAGTCTTACCTCTCAGGTAGGTCCTTCAGGGCTTCCAAATCCTCAGTACTCATCTTGCTAGATATGTCTGCTGCTTTTGACACAGTTAACCACCAGATCCTCCTGTCCACCCTCATGAAGATGGGCATCTCAGGAACTGCACTCCGGTGGTTCAAGTCTTACCTCTCAGGTAGGTCCTTCAGGGTGTCTTGGGAGGGGTGAGGTTTCTAAGTCACAACTTCTTGCTACTGAGGTTCCTCAAGGCTCAGTGCTTGGACCGCTTATCTTCTCCATCTACATGTCGCCATTAGGATCTGCCATTCAGAAGCATGGCTTTTCTTATCACTGCTATGCTGATGACACTCAACTCTACTTCTCATTCCAACCAGATGATCCGACGGTAGCTGCTCGCATTGCAGCCTGTCTAACAGACATTTCTAGCTGGATGAAGGATCATCACCTTCAACTCAACCTTGCTAAGACAGAACTGCTCGTGGTCTCAGCCAACCCAGCACTTCATCACAACTTCTCTATACAGCTGGGTTTGTCAACCATAACTCCTTCCAGGAGCCAGGAATCACAACTTCTCTATACAGCTGGGTTCGTCAACATAACTCCTTCCAGGAGCCAGGAATCTTGGGAGTTGTGATCGATGATCAGTTAAGCTTCACAGACCACATTGCTACAACGGCCCGGTCCTGCAGCTTTGTCTTATACAACATTAAGAAGATTAGACCCTTCCTGTCAGAGCAGGCAGCACAACTCCTTGTCCAAGCTCTTGTTCTCTCCAGACTGGACTATTGTAATGCTCTCTTGGCGGGCCTTCCCTCATGCACTATCAAGCCTCTGCAACTGATCCAGAATGCAGCAGCGAGAGTGGGAGAGTGAAGAAAGCTCACGTTACTCCTCACGTTACTCCTCTCCTCATCAGGTTACACTGGCTACCAGTAGCTGCTCGCATCAAATTCAAGGTACTGATGCTTGCCTACAAGACCACCACTGGCGCTGCACCAATATACCTAAACTCGCTAGTTTAAACTTATGCGCCCTCCAGAAGCTTGCGTTCTGCAAATGAACGGCGCCTTGTGATGGCATCCCAAAGAGGCTTAAAATCACTCTCACAGATTTTTTTCTGGACTGTGCCCAGCTGCTGGAACAACCTCCCGATCTCAATCAGAACAGCTGAGTCTTTAGCCATTTTCAAAAAACATCTAAAGACACAACTTTTTCGCCATCACTTGACCAACTGATACTAGCACTTACCTATTCTATTCTGTTCTATTCCATTCTATTATTTAATAATAAAAAAAATAATAAAAAAACCTAGCTACGTGTACTGTGCTAGACTAACTGAGTCATGGCACTTGTATACTGTTGTTCTCTCATTGGTCTGATTGCTTCTATTGTTCTCATTTGTAAGTCGCTTTGGATAAAAGCATCTGCTAAATGATTAAATGTAAATCAGATCAAATGATACGATCCATAGATCCAAGCAAAGCCACAGGCTTCTGAGTCAAATCTGTTGATGATGATTAAAATATTAAATCTGCGGATTAACAATATTATTCCTGATCTCTCATCTGCCCAGTGTCCTTAAAAAGCACATTTTTGCTTTGTGATGTTTGGAGCTGTGACTCTATGATGAAGACGACTGAAATCCTGCTGATTTCCGTTTAATTCCTTAGAGCGAAAAACAGCTATTTGTCTTATTAATGACTGTTATTCACAATATGAGACACACACACACACAACTACTACTGTACCATATCACACACACACACACACGCACACTCACACGCACAGACACACAGACACACTCTCTCACACACACACACGCACACACACGTGCTGATTTTTGAAGCACACAAACAGTGTGAATGTTTATTACTTCATCAGATATGAACATAAAGACGGCTCAATAAATATCTTGTGTTATCTGCTGATGCTGATGAGTTATTCCTGTGTGTGGTTATGAATGTCTTACACCTTTGTTCCAGTTTCTGCTTCTGTGATGTGCGTCCTGATGAAGAGACGATGAATGATAAACGCAGATAAACACAGTCGTAATGTTTTATGGCTCTTTTCACAGATATGATAAAAACATTTGTGTGTGACTGAGCTTATGAAACCCACGAAAGTGTTTCTCGTGACCTTTACAGCTGAGGTCAGAGACAGACAAACAGCGCTCTGAGCGAGAGGCTGGGTCTGCTGTTAATGTGAGGCATACGTGACTGAGTTCCTGCTCTCAGCGGGCTCAAGGTTCCTGCAGTGTTGATTTTGTTGGCACATTATTAATACAGCGGGCCAACGGGAGCAAGTCACTGCCATTCACAGGTTACACAACA